GCTTTTTAAGCTAATACAAAAACATGAATCACCTAGCGACTAATAGCTAATTATATTTCTTGATACCATAGCCGCTTTCGACAGCACTAAAAGGAGTTGCCTATACGCCACTGTGTCTGAATTTGGCATCTCCGCTAAACTGATACGGCTGTGTAAAATGACGTTAAGCAATACCACAAGCTCCGTCAAAATTGCGAAAGACCTCTCCGAGCCGTTCGCTACAAAACGGGGTTTCAGACAGGGGGACTCCATCTCATGTGACTTCTTTAATCTGATGTTGGAGAAGATAATAAGAGCTGCAGAACTGAAGTCGAAGTCTGTTGTGCCTCTTCCAAGTTGGATAAGGAAGCAAGGCGAATGGGTCTGGTGGTAAACGAGGACAAACAGTCAGCACATTCGCGCCTTGGCACCCACATCACTCTTGACAGTTATAATTTCGAGGAAGTCGATAATTTCGTTTATTTGCGAAATAGCATTAACACCGATAATAATGTCAGCATGGAAAACCAACGCAGAATCACTCTTGCCAACAAGTGCTACTTTGGACAGGAGTAAAGTCCTCTCTTGACGTACAAAAACCACACTCTATAAGTCACTCATCATGCCCGTGTTAGTATATGGCATGGTAAAATGACAACAACCGATGAGGCGGCTCTTGGAGTATTCAAGAGAAAGATTTTGCGGAAGATTTACGGTCCTTTACGCGTTGGCGACGGGGAGTACTGCAGACACTGGAACGATGAGCTGTATGAGCTTTACAACGACATGGACATAGTGCAGCGAATTGAAATACAGCGGCTCCGCTGGCTTTGCCATGTCGTTCGAATGGACACCGACGCTCCAGCTCTGAAAGTATTCAACTCGGAACCCGCTGGTGGTAGCAGAGGAAGAGGGAGGCCCCCACTGCGATGGAAAGATCAGGTGGAGAAGGACTTGGCTTCACTTGGCGTTTCCAATTGGCGTCAGTCAGTGACAGAAGAGAAACGACTGGCGTGCTTTGTTGAACTCGGCCAACATCGCTTAGGCGGTTACAGAGCCAAATAAGAAGATAATGTACCATAGCCAACCGCAGATTCAAAATCCTTCGATTTATAATTTACTTTTATCGAAATAGCTTCTTTCATTTGCATTATTAGTGTGGATACTCACACTTAAACTTTAATCAAAGTTCGAATTCAAATTTAATAATTCACAAAAGAAAGGATTAAGTTAATAAAACCTGCCAAATGGGAGAATTTGTACATAACCGCTGTGACTCATTCTATTGCGTAAGCTCATTAACTTAAACAAACAATAAAATATAAAGTTTGAGGTTTACTTGACCAAACAAATATAAAAGATATACCCACTGCTCTTTTTCTGTAAAAATTTCCAAACCTTCGCTGAAAATAACTTCCACATAGGGTAATCCCAATTTTTTTCGACAGCCAATTGATTCTTTCCCCGAAAAATTTATCGTAATTATAATTATGCATCGATACGTTTGAAAATTTTTAATTTTAAATCTTACAGGTGGTAGTAGTATTTATGTACTTTTATGTATGGAGAATGTGTATAAGTACCCAGTAGATAATTTTAGGAGTTGAAAGCCCTTCCGAAAGGCCTTCCTGAGAGTCAAGAAGCCTTCCACTCTACATTCCTTTCTCCTTTCTTTTTTGTATGGAGTGCCACAAATTGAAGGGCTTCTTCTTTCGCTACCCATGGAAAGCCTTCCAGAAGGTATTTTATAGGGCGTACTTCAGAAGGTCTTTTGGAGGAGTTCTTTTAAAGTTGTTTCTTTAATTTATAACAATCATACATCTTTGAAATATTTGCTTAAGGTTTATATTAAATATGTGTTATTGCAACTTTAAAGGTTTATTAAAATTCGTTTGTAATGCTAAATAATATAAATTTATGCATTCGCATATATTGTAAATGGATAAGACCTTCTAGAAGGCATGCAAGGAAGCACTTTTTTCAGCCCTTCTTGGGTAGGCCTCTCAGAATGGCTTTACTTAAGAAGGCCTACCTAAATTCTCTTCTGGGTAGTTATTGTTTTTTTGATCATTGTATGAATGGAAGAGGTTTATACAATCACATTATACGAGTTGCATGAATAATGAAATAAAAATAAAATGAGGGGGAATGCGTTAGAAAAAAAAACAACTTTGGTTTTTTGGGATAGTCTAATCTACACACAAATCGCACACCTACATAGATCTAAAGTGAGCTAACTCAAAAATCAGATCGGAAAATATAACCGCTTGTGGATAGTACAGATTCAAAGCAATTAATACAAAAATAGGTATAACTGTAGTTTTTTTGTTAGTGAACATAATTATGAAGAAACAATTTTTTTCATTCATTGGAGGCAAGTCCTATGAATTGATTTATGCAAAAAAAAACATCCTAAATTTTTTTTAATTGATCGCACTTTAGATCTACATAGGTGTGCGATAGGTACGTATGTATGCAGGTATATAAGCATCTATTTAAAAAAAAATATTTTGATCGTTTGATAGCGAGCACTTGTGGAGTTCGCTTAAAGCTTAGAGCTACTATACATGTGTGTGTAGTTAAATATATGGGCTGCTTTAGAGAGGACTGATTGTTTTAAGCGTTGCTGTTTGAAGCGTGTAGATATATATTTGTCATTAGACGTCAATATAAAATGCAATTATGTATAAATATTGTTCGTACATACATACATTCATACATACATATGTACATATGTAGTATGTATGTATGTATATGTATTTGTTTGATTAACTTTTTCTCGAGCTCAAATACGATTGCGGCTCGACTTCTCGAGATTCGTACTTGAATCAAATGTTCATGTACATATATAAAATATTACGTACATATGTACATATGTACAATTTCTTTTGGCATACATACAGTGCTGGAAAAATTAATACAATCAACTTATTGACAAATATTAAATTAATTATATCAACACTAGTTAAATATATTTCTTGGAATGGCGCACTCTGTACAAAACGTGTTTGTTGATATTGTTGCACTTTAAAAGCTAAATATGTTAGTTTTTTTGACGCTTCTAATTGCGTTTTTAAATTATGCCAGAAAACATCTTTTCCGTCAAAATTGGAAAAATGTGCTGTGGTTTGATGTAAAACGTACTACGAACACAGCCTTTCATCCAAAAAAAAAAAAAAAAAAAACTGTTAAGCACAGCGGGGGTTCTATTATGGTATGGGGCTGCTTCTCGGAGGAAGGCGTTGGTCCAATATTTTGGATAAAGAATAAAATGTGTGCGGTTGACTGTTTAAATATATTGCTTCCCTATGCTAAAGAGGAAATGCCATTGCGGTGGGAGTTTATGCAGGATAATGATCCTAAACATGCATCGACACTGGCATAGCAGTGGTTTAAAAAGGAAAACGTGCAAGTTATGGAGTGGCTGTCTCAATCGCCAGACCTCAGCGAATCGGGATTTTTAAGGCCAGCAATATAGACGAATTGTGGAGCCACATTCAGTAATCGTGGTATTCCATTCCGAAATGTGTTTGTGCAAACTTGGTTTATTCGATGCATCGATGATGCGAAAAGGCAATCAGGCAAGGCGGCGGTTCAACAAGATATTGAAACAATAATATTTTTGTAATTAGAAATAATACTTTGTTTCTATTATTTCTTTCAGGTCAAAATTAAAAAAAGTGGGCCACAATTTATTTATGTCTTATTGCATTTGCAAAAGAAGTCTGTCTATATTTTAAGTAACGTAAACAAAATATATGAAATCGTAATGTATTTAAAATGAGAGAATTCTTCAAAACAATAAATATATATGAAAGCTGTACGTTTCTATTATTTTTT